AGACTTAATAGACATCTACAGAACTCTCCACCCCAAATCCACATAATATACATTCTTCTCAGCACCGCAAGGCACCTACTCTAAAAGTAACCACATAGTTGGCAGTAAATCACTTCTCAGCAAATGCATAAGTATGGAAATCATAAGAAACAGTCTCTAAGACCACAGTACAATCAAATTAGAACTTAGAATTAAGAAACTAACTCAAAACCACACAACCTGTTCCTGAATGTCAACTGGAAAAACAATAAAATGAAGGCAGAAATAAAGATATTCTTTGAAACCAAAGAGAACAAAGACACAACTTATCAGAATCTCTGGGACACATTTAATGCAGTACCTACAGAGAAATTTACAGCAATAAATGCCCAAACGAGAAGTGAAGAAAGATCTAAAATCGACACCCTATCATCAAAATTGAAAGAACTTGATGAGCAAGATCAAAAACTCAAAAGCTGGCAGAAGACAAGAAATAACTAAGATCAGCGCAGAACTGAAGGAGATAGAGACCAAAAAATCCTTCAAAAAAAATCAATTAGTCCAGGAGCTGGTTTTTTTTTCGAAAAGAACAACACAATAGACAGACCACTAGCCCAATTAATAAAAAAGTAAAGAGAGAAGAATCAAATAGATGCAATAAAAAATGGCAAAGGGGATGTCACCACTGATTTCACATAAATGCAAAGTACAATCAGAGATTACTACAGACAACTGTACACACATAAACCAGTAAACCTGGAAGAAATGGATAAATTCCTGTACACTTGGACCCTCCCAAGCCTAAACCAGGAAGAAGTTGAAACCTTGAACAGACCAATAACAAAGGCTGAAGTTGAGGCAACAATTAATGGTCTACCAACCAAAAAAACTCCAGGTCCAGATGGAGTCACAGCTTAATTCTACTACACATACAGAGAGGAGCTGGTACCATTCTCTCTGAAACTATTCCAAACAATACAAAAAGAGGGAATCCTTCCCAAATAATTTTATGCTACCAACATCATTCTGATAACAAAACCTGGCACAGACTTAACAAAAAAAGAAAACTTCAGGCCAATATCCATGATGAACATAGATACAAAAATCTTCAATAAATTCTGGCAAACAGATTACAACAGCATGTCAAAAAGCTGATCCATCATGATCAAGTAGGCTTCATTCCAGGGATGCAAGGTTGGTTCAACATACACAAGTCTGTTTATGTTTACCACATAAACAGAAGGAAAGACAAAAACCATGTGATTATCTCAATAGATGCAGAGAAGGCCTTCGACAAAATTCAACAGGACTTTATGCTAAAAACTCTCAATAAACTAGGTATTGAAGGAACATATCTCAAAATAATAAAAGCTATTTACAACAAACCTACAGCCAATATCATACTGAATGGGCAAAAACTGGAAGCATTCCCTTTGAAATCTGGCACTAGACAAGGATGCCCTCTCTCACCACTCCTATTCAATATAGTATTGGAAGTTCTAGCCGGAGCTATTAGGCAAGAAAAAAAAATAAATAAAAGGTCTTCAGTTAGGAAAGGAGAAAGTCAAATTGTCTCTATTTGCAGACAGCATAATTATATATTTAGAAGATGCTATCATCTCAGCCCAAAATCTCCTTAAACTGATGAGCAAATTCAGCAAAGTCTCAGGATATGAAATCAATGTGCAGAGATCACAAGCATTTCTATACACCAATAACAGACAAACAGAGAGCCAAATCATGAGTGAACTCTCATTCAAAACTGCTACAAAGAGAATAAAATACCTAGGAATACAACTAACAAGGATGTAAAGGACCTCTTCAAGAACTACAAGCCACTGCTTAAGAAAATGAGAGGACACAAACAAATGGAGAAACATTCCATGCTCATGGTTAGGAAGGATCAATATCATGAAAATGTCTATAATGCCCAAAGTAATTTATAGATTCAATGCTGTCCCCATCAAGCTACCAATGACTTTCTTCACAAAACTGGGAAAAAAACACCTTAAACATCATATGGAACCAAAAGAGAGCCTGTGTAGCTGTGACAATCCTAAGCAAAAAGAACAAAGCAGGAGGCATCATGCTACCTGATTTCAAACCATACTACAAGAATACAGTAATCAAAACAGCATGGCACTGGTACCAAAACAGAAATATAGACAAATGAAACAGAGCAGAGGCCTTGGAGGCAATGCCACACATCTACAACCATCTGATCTTTGACAAACCTGACAAAAATAATCAGTGGGGAAAGGATCCCCTGTTTAATAAATGGTGTTGGGAAAACTGGCTAGCGGTGTGCTGAAAGCAGAAACTGGACCCCTTCCTGACACCTTACACTAAAATTAACTCCAGATGGATTAAAGACTTAAACAGAAGACCTAGCACCACAAAAATCCTAGAAGAAAACCTAGGCAAAACCATTCAGGATGTAAGCATAGGCAAGGACTTCATGCCTAAAACACCAAAAACATTAACAACAAAAGCCAAAATAGACAAATGGAATCTAATTAAACTCCAGAGCTTCTGTAAAGCAAAGAAACAATCATTAGAGTGAACCGGCAACCAACCGAATGGGAAGCAACTTTTGCAATCTACCCATGTGAAAAAATGTCTAATATCCAGAATCTACAATGAACTAAAACAGATTTACAGAAAAAAAAATCATCCAAAAGTGGGCAAAGGATATGAACAGACACTTTTCAAAAGAAGACATATATGAGGCCAACAAACATATGAAAAAATGCTCATCATCACTGATTATTAGAGAAATGCAAATCAAAACCACATTGAGATACCATCTCACACCAACTAGAATGGCAATCATTTAAAAAATCTGTAGACAACTGAATCTGGAGAGGATGTGGAGTAACAGGAACACTTTTACACTGTTGGTGGGAGTGTAAACTAGTTCAACCATTGTGGAAGACAGTGTGGCACTTCCTCAAGGACCTAGAAATAGAAATTCCATTTGACCCGGCAATCCCATCACTAGGTATATACCCAAAGGATTATAAATCACGCTATTATAAAGACACATGCATATGTATGTTCATAGAGACACTGTTTACAATAGCAAAGTCCTGGAAGCAACCCAAATGCCCATCAACGATAGACTGGACAAAGAAAATGTGGCACATATACACCATGGAATACTATGCAGCCATAAAAAACAATGAGTTTGTGTCCTTTGTAGGGACATGGATGAATCTGGAAACCATCATTCTCAGTGAACTGACACAGGTACAGAAAATAAAACACTGCATGTTCTCACTTATAGGTGGGTGTTGAACAATGAGAACACATGGACACAGGGAGGGGAGCATCACACCTGGTGTCTGTTGCAGGGGGCCAAGGGAATGAGAGTGTGGGTGTGAGGAGGTCAGGGAGGGATAACACGGGGAGAAATGGCAGATTTAGGAGACAGGGAATGGAGGCAGCAAACCACATTGCCATGTGTGTGCCTATGCAAAAATCCTGCATGATCTGCACATGTACCCCAGAACCTGAAGTACAATTTAAAAAAAGATTCTGGCAAACGTCCTGTACCTAAATTTAAGATAACTATTTATATGAGGAGAAGAACATTCGGCTTTTAAGCAATACCTCATTTCTGTAAGAAACACCACAGGAAAATGTCAAAATTTGACACTTTTCTTCCTTTTGATAAAATCTTATGTCATATGTAAAAGCTTCTGTTTTCAATAAATGATGTTTGACTTGTCCTCAAAAAAAAAAAAAAAATTGTCTGTACTATTTTTTCCCAGATCTTTTGTAAACATTCCTACTAGGGTAGTATAATTGTTACAACTGATGAGCCTACACTGACACATTGTAGTCACCCAAAGTTTATAGTTTACACTAAGGTTAATTCTTAATGTTGTATATTTTATGTGTTTGAATCAAAGTTTAATGACAGGTACCAGAAATTGTAGTTATCATACAGAGTAGTTTCACTTCCTTAAAAATCATCTGTGCTCTGTCTATTACCCCTCAGTCCCCACTAAACTCTGACAACCACTAAGCTTTTTACTGACTCCATAATTTTGCCCTTTCCAGGATGTCATAATGCTGGAATTACAGTGTATGAAGCCTTTCCGATTGGCTTCTTTCATCTAGTAATAGGCATTTAAGTTTCCCTCATGTCTTTTCATGCCTTGATAGCTCACTTTTTGTTTTTTTTTTTTTTTAACATTGAATAGTATTCCCTTGTCATTGGATGACAAGAATGTGTCACAGTTTATCCATTCACCTACTGAAGGACATAATGGGTGCTTTCAAGTTTTGATACTTTTAAATAAAGCTGTTATAAGCATTCACATTTTTGTATGGACATATATTTTCAACTACTTTGGGTAAAGAGCAAGGGGCAGGATTGCTGAATCATATGCTAGGAGTACGTTTAGATTCATATGACATTACCAAATTGTCTTGTAAAGTGGATGTACTATTTTGTATTTCCACTGGCAATGAGTGAGAGTTCCTCATGCTGCACATTCTGGTCAGTAGTTGGTATTTTCAGTGTTCTGGGTTTTGGACACTCTATACAAGCCTTTTCAACTAAGTCTTTATAAGGCTTTATTGATTAATGTTTAGATTTATATTTTCTTAATTATTTCAAAATATGATTGTAATAGCTATAATTCCTTTCAATTGATACTAATTAACAATATTTCATATTGTTAAAATTTATGGAAATTTACAATAAAGTTAATAAATATGTAGATCGTTTTTAAAAATAAGGTGCAGTGCTATTTCTGCAAAAGCTGATAAGTAACCATGGCAGGTTTCCACACATCTATTAGAATTTCCAAGACAATAAGTTACCATAGCAACCCTAAAAGCATATTATATGGTTTTAGACCATTAATATTCACTGATATTTCTTTAAATATAAATACGTATGTAAATATATCAAATCATAATTAAACACACTGATTCGTAATAAATTAGTTGTAGCATTTACAACACTGCTGCGTTTTAAAATAAATATAATACACTGATCAAAATACTTTTTTTTAATGTAACACTTCACAAATTTGCATGTCATCCTTGCACAGGGGCCATGCTAATCTCCTCCGTATCATTCCATTTTTAGTATATGTGCTGCTGAAGTGAGCATTGATCCAAAATATTTTGATCATTTTAACTGCAGGAAGAAGTATCTAGAAAGCCAGCTGTGCAATGGATAATTATTGGTCAAATTAACTTACGTACACGGATTCAATATTCCCAAATAAAATGTCCTCAAATTCACCTCAGGTATTCTCTAAAAGAAGACCCTATCTAGAAGTATGATTCGATCTTGAAATTTAAGATTAATCAACATTAGGAAGTGTTATCTATATAATCCACTACATTCATTAAAAGAATGAACACGAGGTAAGCTCCACAGATATTGCAAAGTATTAACAAATCCAAATGTGTATTGATAGCAAGTGCACTAAGAACCAAAAACTGTGAATAAAGTGCCTCAATTGTGAGAAAATATATTTAGCATAAATTTACATCAAATTATATATTTTATATATAAAATTGTAATATGTAATTTTAATATATAATTATATATAAATATAAATATAAAATTTTATATTGTATCATATTTATAATATTACATAAAAACTCCACTTATCATACTACTTCCATGTCAGATATTGAAAGAAACTTTGGAAAGACCAAGAAAGAGATCAAATGGGAATCCTGTATATGAGAACAGTGGACCCAGTTCCCGCCTCTCCACCATTAATGGAAAACAAGAGATCCAAAAAGTACAGAGGCAGGCAAAGAAGCAAAGGCAGTATCTCAATTCTGAGCATCCTTTTCCTAAATGAAGAGGAGTTGAAAGGCGGCTGGCTTCGAATCCTCAGGTCTAGACTTAGCGATTTCAGAATTATCCTGGAAAGCTATTAAGTGAACGAAGGGCGTTCAGGGGGTTTAAAAATGACCACTTGACAATTGAGACTGTCTCTCAGCCGTTTTTCTTGTCAATGACAGCCCCCGACCAGTCCGCTCTCACGTCGTTGTCAGGGCCGTTAGCCTGAAACCTGCATCCCGCCGCGCCCACGTCTCAAAATCACTTAGACTTGCCCACTGTCTACCTCATGATGTCTTCTCTGCTCTTGACATGGTGAGGAGTCCAGCTTCTAGCGAAAAAGCTTCAGGTAATCTTCCAGGCCCAGTCTGAAATGATGACGAACCATTCACCTGGGAGGCGGCTCTCCCACGCCACGGGGCACAGGGCACTGCGGGCTCTGAAGGCAGCGGCTGGCCATGGCTCCGGCCCCACCTGGCCAGCCACGCTCTCTGCGCCTCTGCATGTCTGTTCCCAGCACGGTACATCCATTCCTGGGTCTTTTCATCTGAGTGCCCCCGGGCCGAGGTCCTTCTCAGGCACCTCTGCCGAAGCCTCCCTGGAGACATGGCAGGCTGGGCAGGGGAGGCTGGGGAGACTGACTCGATGCCCAGAACATACCCATGCTTAGTCCTTCTCCCTCATCCTCTCCACTACTTTAAGGTCCATAAAGCCGCTAGAGTTTTTGTTTGTGACTCCCTCGATAGTGACATGACTCTCACATCTGATCTGACCCGTGCACTGTTTCACAGGGCAAAATGCAACAGGCGGTCCACGCTTTGATTTTAGCCTCTTGCTTGTACCATCATAAAAGAGAAAAGCTTTATCTTGTTGCACATTTTCGGTTTCTTGCTTTAATTGGCTTCTCAGACACCTCACCATTCAGCCTTCTCATTCGCAGTTTGTCTGAACTCCTGTCCCAGGACCCTCAGGCCCTGTTAAAGTTGACTGAAAGGTGTCTTCAGGGCCTCTTCTCACCGTAACTTTCCAAGCAACCCTGTGCTTGCATCACACTTGACATTCGTCCTTTTATTTACTCAGTGATTTCGAGCAATTCTTTGTCTAGAACGTTCCCTCGCACCTTGACAATGAATAATAGAAAAAAAATCACTAACATAGACATGACTTTTGCTCAAATATCGTCTCATCTTAACTTATGCAGTTCATCTCTGTGTTACCCAAATCTTATGAGTTTTACCACAGTTTTGTACATACAAAACTATACTGCAAATTATATGTCTACATTTTTTTTCCTTTTTGATAATAATCGAGCTTGTGGAAATCTAGAACTGTGTGTCATTTTAATCTATATCCCTCAGTCCCTAATGTAGGGCTTTGCTCACAAAAGATGCTTCATAAAACAACTGGATCCTTAGAGAAGATTCTTAGATTTCAGCATAAAAGTGAATTCAATGTTTTGTTTAATAATATGTTAAGTAAAAACATTACATAAAGGAGGAACACTTGATTTTGACAATTTAAAACATTCGTGTAAAACATCTGAAATTGAATTTAGTTTTGCTCAAAATTGCTATGTAAAATTATAATTTTAACATTCTTATGAATGTATATAATTAGAAAGCTATACACAAAAAATTCTATGTGCCCTATAGAATGTCTATAATGTATACAACATTCAATGGTAAATGAATAAATGTTTGAGTTTTACACATTAATGTCATGAATATTGCTAAAATAAAGCATGCTATTCATAACACTTAATCTTTGCCTAAAACAATATTGCTTTTATTATTTCGTGCCTCGAATAATCAAAATTGTTACTTTTTTCTTAAAAATAAACTTTAAGTTTTATTTAAAGCCAAGAATTATGTTCATAGAAATGTAATCAGCTATACTTTACATTGTATTTTTAAATAGAAGAAATATAAACAGTTTTTTTTTTTAATTCCTCCACAAAGAATAATTCTCACACTCCCTTTATGTCAATCCCTATCCATCTGGTTCTCGGTCCCAAGCTCCATGATTTTTTTTTCTTTCGTTTTAATATTTCCATGAATTCTATATCTTCACCCTTTTTTCCCTCTTCTTATTCTGCTGTTTTGGGTTTTTCCCCCTCTTTTGTGCTCAATACATAGTCACTTTACGGAAAGTCACATGTGGTCATAAAAAGTGATATTTTAATGTAAAAATGCTTATGTTATTGCCATGGCTTTCTAAGGCAGCCCAATAACAAATTTCCTGTCACAATCTGAAATATATTCTCTTTCACATTTGCCACTGCATGTGACTCCAACATTTATTCTTTCACTGAGCTAATATTTACTCATCATTCAGTGTGAAGAAAGAGCGATGTTTAAAAAACAAAAACAAAACACTGTTTTGAGAAGTTTCAAGTTTAAGAATTTAAATCAATGTCTGAAAATATTTGCCACACCTGAAGGCCTCACCAAATATTAATCACCTACCACATCCCAGACCCTGAACTAAATGTTAAGGATCCAGTGGTGAACAGAACGAACAGGGGCTCTACAGATTGAGAGAACAGAGTCAGCTGGTGGGATGTTTCTCCTTTCATAAATATTTATAGCTCCTCTTACAGCTTATTTTATGTGTAGATATATATTCAGCTTCTCTGTTCAGCATAAATTCCTATATTATTCTTCCCACCCTACAAGTGCCTGTTCCCCACTTCTGTCCTGATGGCCACCCTGCAGGCTGCAACACTTTATGAGAAATAAAGCTCTCTTTTCCAAATTTATGAACCTCATCATTCTTCAGTTGACAGGAGGCAAGGTAAATAAGAAATATATGCTATACAAGACATTGATGTTTTCTATGAATAAAAAGTGAAATAGAAAGAGAGAAAGAAACCATACTCATGGGGATGTATTATTTCAGGTAGAGTTAGCCAGAGAAGGCATCCCTGAAGTGATGCTTTAAAATTTGAAGGTAAGAAGAGAATGGAGATATGTGGCTATTGGGGGAAAGCACATCCCAGGCAGCTGAAAGGGCAAAGAGCAAATTTCCCACAGTGTGATCAGGCTTGGCATGGATGAAGGAACAGTAAGGAGACTAACCAGGAGGAGGATAGCAGGAGAGGAACGGGGTAGAGAGGAGGGGGCCGATTTTACCCTAAGGGACATGCAAACTCACCATGGAGTTTTGAGCAGGAATGACATCATCTTCCTTGAAAGGATTAGTTTAGTCATGGTGTTGCACATAGCCTAAGAAAGAACTGAGAGGAAGTAGGAGTCTATTACAATATGAATACAGGCAAAAAAAAAAAATGATAGTGGTTTAGACTAAGATTTAAGATGGGAAAACAGTGAGAAAGGAAGTTTTATTATTATAGGTAGGCAGCATGAATAATAAAGAAAATCCAAAAATCTCTTTTGCCAGCACTGACACAATTCAAGAAACAGCCATGATTTCCCTGTCGCCTTTCATGAATACATAGCTTAAAATATTTACCCCCTCATTCAGAGATTATATAGGAGGAGTTAGGCTGCAGTTGCTGAAATGATCAAAGCTCTTCTCCCTTGTTTATTTCACTACCAGATACAAATGGAAAGTTGACTCATCAAAAGATTTGTTTGAGTTCCAAAGTTATGAGCAAAGAAGTTACCCCAGATCATAGAAATATCTTTGTCAGAGATCACAGGCTGTGCAGTTCAGGGGCCCTAGACTCCATCACTCATTAGATGTGTGACTTTAGGAAAGTTACATAGCATGTCCTTTAAGATGGGGGTACTATGACCCACAGCATATGACTAGTGGTATTCACTTTAAAGTTACTATCATAGCAATGTCTAGCATATGGAAACAGCTTTTAATATTTTAATGTTAGTAATTTATCTTTCCTGAGACTAAAGAGAAAAAGACTCTCCCGTTGTTTAATTCATTATTTTCTTCCAGAATTCAGCCTACACTAGACCTGAGGATGACAGTGCTATCTTTAAAAAAGAAGTTGAGGTAGCAAAGGAGGAATATAGGATTAGAAGTCAAATTCTTCTTGAACTCAAAGACCTCATTGGAGCAAACGATAACACAAGAGTTCACAAAATTTCCAAAGTATGTGAAAATGAGAGTAACTAATAAATGAATGTATTTTAGACTAGTATGTGATACACAATAGAAACTCAATAAGTGCTTATACAGTGAATTATACATTTTCCAATTTACATGTTTTATTTTTTACATATCTACCATATACCATTAGAAACTGACTTAAACTCATTCTGCTCTCTTAGATTCTCAAATGATCTACCATAGCTTTTTTTCTCTTAAAAGTTGTAACTATGGAAGATGAT